GTTGGGGGCAATATGCTGACTCTCTGTAAACCGCTTAGAGAGGGCTGAAAGCCCTATGAAGCGGTATATAAGTCTACTGCTATTGCTATATTCAGTAGAGGGTGTTCCTGGTGGATAAGCACAATTATTTGATTGTGGGATAGTTTTATATTCCAGCCCTGTCAAGGCACCTATTCTGTCTTAAGGTGGGCCTTTTAGTTAAATCAGGACTAGGTTCTGTTACCTGTGTTTCCTTTCCCGTTTTAAACATGGATCAACATCTTTGGGGATTGGGGATCTCATGGAAGTTAATTGAAATTCTTTCCCTCATCCAGGTCTTGCGCCTTCAAATACTTTTGTGGCCCCACAGCCTGTGGTAGTAGCCAGCCCAGCAAAATTGCAGGCAGCAGCTGCCCTGACAGAGGTTGCTAATGGGATTGAACCAGCTCCAATGGTAAGAAAAAAAAAATACTGGTAGGAATTTGAGGGATGAGTTTGCAAGTTTTCCAAAGTTCATCTTGAATTGTCCATTCTTCGCCAGAAACCAGAGCCTCCCACACAGCCTCCAAAAGTGGTGGTGAAGAAGGAAAACCAATGGTTTGATGTGGGTATTGTCAAGGCAACCAACATGGTGGTGACACACTACTTCCTGCCGCCTGATGATTCAGCTGCTACAGATGTGAGTGGCAGGAATATACTATAATCACCTTAACTTCACCTTAAAGATCCATTTTTTTTGCTGCCACATACCTTCCTATCCATTCCCATAATATCAAGATAATTGCGATGTCTTATTCCCACTCTCTTCTGTCCTCTGCAGGATGATTCAGGAACGACTCCCGATTATTCTCAATTCAAGAAGCAGGAGCTGCAGCCTGGTACTGCTTATAAGTTCCGAGTGGCAGGAATTAATGCCTGCGGACGAGGCCCTTTCAGTGAAATCTCCGCATTCAAGACCTGTCTGCCTGGTTTTCCTGGAGCGCCTTGTGCCATCAAAATCAGTAAAGTGAGAGATTTTCTTGTTCTTTAAAGTCCTCTCAATTCATCTCCCTGTTTGGGTGGGGTTAATTGAATAATGTTTGTTTCATTTGTTGTCTCCCACTCTTGCTGCAAATACCTTTTGGCTGTTGTGGTTTTCAAGCTCTTGTTGCGTGTTTCTAACACAGAGTCCGGACGGGGCCCACTTGACTTGGGAACCACCTTCGGTCACCTCTGGAAAAATCACAGAATACTCGGTGTACCTGGCCATCCAGAGCCCTCAGGCGGGTGAACCTAAGAGTGCAGCACCTGCCCAGCTGGCCTTCATGCGGGTTTACTGTGGGCCCAGTCCTTCGTGCCTGGTCCAATCAGCTAGTCTCTCCAATGCCCATATAGACTACACCACAAAGCCTGCCATTATTTTCCGCATTGCTGCCCGCAACGAGAAGGGCTATGGTCCTGCCACACAAGTTCGGTGGCTTCAAGGTGAGTTGGGGCTGTGATGGCACATTGGAGGGAAGAATGTAGCTTCAGGCCACATACGAGTGGGATGATGACATTCCCACTCATCTCATTGACAATTAAACCTGCCAACAAGATGAGGAATTGCTACCAGGTCTCAAGACTCTTGTAGATATCTGCACACCATTCGCTTTCCCATCTTGAGCCTTGGTTTGCCAATGAAGAAAATCTGCCATGTTGCCTCTTAGATGCAGGCTGGATCTTTATGTTGATATTTCTGTTGGTAGCAAGCGGGTTGGTATAAGTAAATAGGAAGGTCTCATTCAAAGTTCTAGAATATTTATCATCAGTTGTAATTGATTAATTTATTGATAATATTCAATAGGAATTGATGAATTTGTCAGATATTTCTGCCAATTCCTATTTGGGAATGTATCATGTTTAGATGGTGAGATTCACGTATTAGAAAATCCAGAGTGAAAATGTATTTTCAGCACCAGCTACAGTATAAATTGCTTGGGGGAGGACAGGTTTACTGAGCTCAGTGGTAGAGACATGCTCATCAAGCCAAATTCTAATAGTATGACTAAAGGATTTAATATCAGAATAAAATTACCCATTTTTTTTTCACATGTCAGCATTCAATTGCATTTCATTCCTAGTTTTATCCCTATTGGATATCATGATTTATAAATAAACAAGTTCACATTCCTGTAATGATTCCATTTGATTCAGGCCATGTTTTATCTTTGCCTTCAGTGGGTGTAATGCACTTTTTGTCTTTACAGAATCCAGTAAAGATGGATCCATGACAAAACCAACCAACAAGCGGCCGCTTTCATCTTCTGATTTGTGAGTATTGATTGGGGTATCCAGCAGTTATTTCAGCCTTTGTGTTTCCTTTGTGGAGCTGTTGTGGGTTAGGGAAGGAAATCTATATATATATGCCCAGTTGTTTTGGGAGAAAAGATGTCTCATAAAATTTCTTGAACACAAAAGACAGAATATCTTGGGTCAGCCCTCGATTGAATAAAGTGCTAAATTACTAGTTGTTTATGCCAGAATAGGATTTCTCCTATAAGCAGCCTAGCAAATCAAGGAGGCTGCAGCAAATTCTCTACAGGAATATTGCTAGTTTCAACTGTGGAGCTCAGCTATTTGAAGCCAAGAAGCAGTTTGGTGTAGTATTTAAGGTGTAAAAGCTTTTAGAAACCAGAAGGCTTGAGTTCTGGGCCGCCTTTATGCATGAAAGCTGGCTGGATGACTTTGGGCTAGTTAGTTACTCGGTTCCACCACAAAACCGCGTTCGACTAAAGCGCGCTCGACGAAACCACGTAGCTGACGTCATCAACAGGGCGACAACAGCGCGGAGACAGAA